TTTAAAAAAAAAAAAATTCCAATTCTAAAATTCAAAAGAAGAAATTCTGAATCTTCTTACTTTTCCTTTAAGCTTATTCTACAATCAAACAAAACTAGAAATTTAAATTTAACATTAGACATTTACTCATAAAATTTTAAGTTGAAATTTTCTCTTCCCTTTCGATGTAGTCTGGCCACAACATAGAAACTATGAAATCCAATTAGAGATTTCTGGAATCATTACATTGAGGTCAGTAAATAACGTTGAAAAAAATAATACGTGCACCATTTCTTCATAGATTTGGGTAAGATAAAGTAACAAAAATTAGTTAGGTATAAGTGCAAAAACAAAATGAAGTTTAGCAGAACTAGCATGTAGGAATTAAAATCATTTTGAGGAGTTTTATAATTTTTATAGCTATATTTTATTACGATGCATTAGATATACACTATCTATTAGAGAAACGATATGACTCTGAGAAATGTTGAATCTAATCTATGTCATATGAATTATGGATAATGTCGTATGTATCATTTCCATGGAGAGGGGGATTCCTGTTTCAGATCTTTCCTAAACCGAGTGTATACAAATTAATGAGATGTATAATAAGCTTGGCAGTTGTGTGTAGATTTAGACCAACAGAAATAAATTTAGAAGGGAGGTTCTCAATAAATTTACACGTTAATGTTCTCTGAGTCTTCTAATGTTAATAACCGCTATTTTCCCTTATTTATGTTTTACAAAAAATATATATAATTATATTTCTTGATAATTCATCTCATGGGATTGAAAACAACTCTGTGTTCAATACCATGAGATACATCAAGATTTTCTATTGATGTTTGTTCATAACAAATTAAAGGTTGGTATACATGTGTCCAAGCCGCGCCACGACCATATGAAGTACCTTCTCGATAAAACCAAACACGTAGCTGGTTCTCGTGTGTTGTTCTAACCTACTCAAAGTGTATGTTTGGTTTTATCAACAAAGTACCTTCCATGCAGACGTAGTGCGCTCAGGAGCATTGTGGACTTGAGTATCCGAAGGCTTAATGAACAATACAAAAAATAAATAAAATAAAATCGGTAAAAGGTAGAATCATTTTATGACGATTGGAGTAATACACATCAAAGATGGCATGGTGATGGAAAGTATAATTTTGATTGTTTTTAGAGATTCGTCGTTGAAAAAAAATTAAATAAGGAACTATTTATCCTTTTTAGGCGCGTATTTCTGAGTCGTTTTAAATTTATTTTATTGGTATTTAAGTTATCTATTTTTTATTGACCAAGTGTAAGCGAAGAGATTATTTTTCTTCCTATTCGACACTTTGACATTTCGTCAATTTATTTCTCGAACTATTTGTATTGCATTTTCAATTGTATAATTTACTTTGTTTTCGTAGAAAAAAAAATGATTATAATAATGTATGGATCTCACAATTACCATATTGACACAAGTCCTAGGTAAAAACGATTTGTACTGAGGAATATTTAATAATATTAATTTATTAATTTTTTTTTCTAAATGAGTGAATTATTTATCTTTTAACAAAGGATAATAAAAACAAAGGGATATCTCGCTAATTGTCCCTGCAATAACTTCTGCCTTTGTGTCTCGTAGGTTCCTTGTTTGCTTTCGTGGAAATTTTCTTTCTCGAGGTGATTAAGTTAATCTAGGGTCACACCTTATTTAGGGTAACAAATGCAATGCTGATTATTTTACTACTAACAACTTCCAATACTCATATCTTATGTGCCACACGCCTCCTAGATCTCCACCTCTTATTCTACGTGTATAAACACCTGTATTGTAAAAGTTAAAAAGGAGAGTAGACAACCTGTACGCTACTATTTTCGAACTGTTGACTGATATTTTAAGTTTAGGCAAATGTCATTTAATAGTATGGAGTAGTTCGATAACACAATGCAACTGTCATCATCATATTTTATTATAACACTATATATTAATATTTTATCAACAAGATCCTATTTTTTAAATATATAATATAATAATAATATACCGAATTCCTGTCGTATCCAATCCCTACAATCCAAAATCCTCCGTAAAATCCTTAATGCTTCTTACTTTGTCACAAATAAAATAATCCATAGAGACCTTAGTGTTCCGTATGTTTCCGATTTGGCCCAATCCAGATATCTATCCTTCCATAACAAACTCCAGAACCATCCGAGGCGTCTGAAAAGAAGATGGCCTCGGGACCTTCTAACTTTAATTTGAATATAGAATAGAAATATAGAACTTTAATTTGAGTTCTACCAATGGGTAGTTTCTCTTCATGTTGTACGTGTCATGTTACCAATGTCACATTTACTTGTTGTATTTTTAATGTAATACAGTTGTAAATGTCATTAAAATAAAAAATAAAAATATTAATATTATTCGTATAAAAATAATAATAATATTCGATGAACATATTAAATAAATTTAGGGGATGCTTAGACAAAGTAACGAAAAAGAGAAATAATTTTGAATCCCCTGATTATCTGAGTGCTCGACGGTTGATAGAAGAACCGAGTAAAGAGGAAATGGAATATCTGTCGGTAAATGAACATCTTGTAAAGTAGCTGGGATCAATACCCCAGGTGGAGCTGGAGTTTCTAAAATCCATCTTTTGGTTAAAAAGATCTGAGGGAATGAGAAAACGCCCCAACAATGGAAAGAATTTATTCTTACTCCGATTCATAAAAAAGGATTAAGGAAGGAATTCTATAGAGAGGAATTTCACTCCTTCCAGTATATTATAAAGCATTCTCGTTCATCCTAACTTGTCGAATCACGAAATATGGCGAGAAAATTATCGGAGATTACTTACCTGGTTTTATACAAATCATTTTCAGTTCTATTACTTACTGCAAATATTAGATGAAAAAAGTAAAATAATTTTTTTTGTTCATTAAGTGTCTGTGTAGTCCAAGATGGACTTCGAGCTCCCGAAAAATCCAGCTTCATTCCTCTTTATCCTGAGCCTGTCCCTAGTTACTCCTATTTTCCCGAGATTCTCTTTCAGGACTTTTTGACAATTTTTCCTAGGGTGTTCTATCTTCCTCTTTCCTAGGAAGGATTCCCTTCTCTTCACCATTGGATAACCTTTCAACATGCCTAAGCCAGCTAACTCTTTCCTTAATAAATCTTTCAATGTCCTCGTGGTTATCGTCCAATTCCTGATTGTTCCTTATGCGCCATTAAATATCACAAAATTCATTTATGACTCTTGCAAACGCGTTAGCTCGTTCTACTACCTCCCCTCCCCCGCTCTCCCCATCTCCCCTCTCCACCCTCCGCTCTCCCCATCTCCCCTCTCCACCTCCCCGAATAGCATGAACTGTACTAGGTAAATATAATTTCGGTGATAGCTTTGCGTCGAATAAAATAGGTGTGTTAAATTGTTGAACTCAGTAGCGAACAAGTCTCTATAAAATTAATAAGCGCAGTACAGAATGGTAAGCGTCCGATGAATTAACCGAATTCGAAAGTATTTAGTAAGCGAACCTTCGGATTCGCTGGCTCATTATTATTTATTATTATATCTTCGTATAGTCTAACTGAATTCATTTGTTGATGATAATATCACTTAATATTCTATATGATTTATTCTTTCGTATTTAATCATCTTATCTGATCACCAATTTGGATTCCGCACATCTCATTCTACTATCCAGCAATGCCATCGTGTGGTAGACGTGGTCTTCTCTGCATTCGAGCGCGGAATATATTGCACTGGAATCTTTCTCGACGATGAACAGGCGTTTGATCCAGTCTGGTACCCGGGTTTGCTTTACAAACTCCGTAAATTTCTCCCCCCTACATATTTCCTCATCATCAGTTCCTAACTTACTGATATACACTTCAAAGTAAATCACAATAATACCTATTCATCTCTCTTTTCTCAATCTGCTGGTGTTCTTCGAGGTAGTATCCTTGTTCCTATCCTTAACACAGTTTATACAGCTGATATCCCAACCCATCCTGACACTGTCATCACCACGTATGCCGATGACACATGTATTCTTTCAGTTAATAACAATCCATCAATACCATCCCAAACTCTTCAATCACACATCACAATCCTTGAAGAATGGTGTCAAAACTGGAGGATTAAAATAAATTCCAATAAATCCCATCAAATCACCTTTACCCTTCGTCGTAAACCTATGACTTCCTGTCCTACAGTATGTTTTAATAACATCTCACTTATCCCAGTTGAACAAATCCGATACCTAGGACTCCACCTGAGCAAACGTCTCACTTGGAATCCTCATACTAGACTGAAACGACAAGAAACAGCTCGACGTTTCCGCTTACTCCAACACTTACTAGACAAACGATCTAAGTTTCCAATGTATTACAAAAGACTCATATACATGACTATAAGAAGACCTATTTTGACTTATGGAGTTGAACTATGGGGCTCCACTAAACCATCGAATTCCTCTCGTGTCCAATCCCTACAATCCAAAATCCTTAATGCTTCTTACTTTGTCACAAATAAAATAATCCATAGAGACCTCAATGTTCCGTATGTTTCCGGTTTGGCCCAATCCAAATACGTATCCTTCCATAACAAACTACAGAACCATCCGATCCATCTCGTTTCAAACCTTGCTTCCTCCTTGATCCCTGATAACCCTGCGAGGCGTCTGAAAAGAAGGTGTCCTCGTTATCTTCTTGTCTAAATTTATTATTTGAGTGCTATCAGTGCGTAGTTTCTCAACGAGAATTTTCATGCGATTATATTTCTGTGTACACATTTACTTGATGTATTTATATTAATACAGTTGTAACTATTTTTAAAAAAAATCATCTTATGACATACACTCCTCGTGTCTGTTTTCAGAGGACTTTCTTTACGTTTTGTTTTTAATTGTTATATAGCTTGTTCTGTTAGGAAATACAAGCCATCATTGATGTAATATATATATATATATAAGAATATTATTATATCTTTTTTTTTATCTTTGTAATAATGTGTTATGCGGTGGTGTTTGGTGTGCAGGAGCTCCTGAGATGATAACATGTACAAGTGGTGGAGGAGCCGGAGATCACTCCTGCTGCTACTGGTGGTCCTCCTGCCCTCATGGCTCCTGTTCGGCTACTACACGGCCTCCGCTCCGATGGGGGGGGGCCCCGCCCCGCGGCCCCCGCAGCAGCTCCTCCGGACCGCCCCTGCCGCCTGCCGCCCCGCCGCTCTGGCCAGGGCCGACATAGACACCATCTCCCAGTTTTCTACATTTGACTTCCAAGTCAGTACATGTTTTATTCAGAATATTATTTAGTTATATGATAATAATAATAATACTTTATTTATTCTGGCAGGAGTCCCTTCAGGATAATACAGAAATGCAGAAATGGGGGCTAAGGAGCCTCAGGGATACATAAACAATAATAAAGAGTAATTAAATAGTCATAGTAAAAAAAAGTATACATTACTTTCTAATTTTAATCAGTTAATAATAAGAAAATGAAGGAAAAAAACACGAAGTAATATGTAGTAGTGTTTGTTGTTGTTTGTTGAGATTTGAGGTCTAAAACATCAAGGTCATTAACGTCTGCATTTAAGTTTGTTTATCGCTGAACTACATTTAAATTTTAAACCTGTACCACTACAACCCATGAAGGGTTTAGTACTATTTAAGGAAAGCACTGTTTCTAGGTCAACGGTTGTACAAGGAGGTGATTTGACCGAGACTTTTCCTCCCTAATTAATTATATAATTAAGAATATCCACTTTATAGAGGCTGGGTGTGCCCTAGGAGGGTCGCTCCTCGGTAATTTACCTTTACCATTGGGAGCTCAGTACCCTACCACTGAGCTACCCGACTCCCTAGATTTAAATTTTATCTTTTAAATTTTGTTTAACAAATTGTTTAATTTTAGAAAATTCAGTACTAACTGTAATGTGTCTTCTTCATTTTTAAGGATGTTTGATATTGGGAATGTGAGTCTGAAACCAGTTAAATTCGAGATATAGAAAGAACATTCTTCAAAAATATGTCTAATTGTAATTGTACTATTACAGTGTTGGCATTTTGATGATGGCTGATTGCTAATGAGATGTGAATGAGTTAGATTGGTATGGTATATTTTCAGTCTAATTAAGGCAACCTCTTATAGGTGACAGGATATCAAATTTTTTCGTTGTTTTCACAACTTGAGGTGATTTATTACTTATTCTGTGATAAACCTTAACGTAATTAATTGACAAGGAACTTTTTCTAAATGTTGGATATCTGTAGTATAGTTGAAAAATGATTTAAAAAATTCATGATTATTCAGGAAAACAGAATTTAGTCTATTTTAGCCGCTCAAAAGTGCTCTTTAAATGATTTTAACAATGGCAAATTCTACTTCCATTTCAGATATATTTTGTCTAGTTTACTGGGAAGCAATTCTTGATTATGTAAATTAAATATGTTTTGATTATCGAACACAAAACTTAAATTTTCTACTTTTCTGTGAAAAATCAAACCTTTGTTTGTATAAACTTTTTTTTATCGCTTTTGAAGCTTGCTATCACCTATTTAAAAATCTCTCCCTACTTACAACGAAGTCTATTTGTCATTCCTATAAGCTAAGTTCTATTGTTGCCGAATCACGTTTTGTCATATTATAATATATAGGATAGGCAATGCCGTTAGACATTCGGCGCACTGGAGCAATGACGTCATCTTCCCCCCTAAAAAATATCTTTTATTCCTTAAGCTGATTTATATTATATAATTTGAATTTTATTGCATTCAATAATTCTCTAATACTTTAAGGGTAGGCTAAAATTAATTATTTAAATACGTTTTGTAACTTTGTTTATTCCTAACAAATAGCGAGCGCCTCTGAAGAACGGTCGGCACTGACGATAGGTAGGGATGTAAATAAGTACATATCAATGTATGAATAAAAACAACTTAAAAAATCGCCGTACGTTCTGGAAATTGTTCAATGCTGGAAGGACAATACAAATTTTCTTTCCTTCATACGAGTATGTTCCCCCATCTGCTACACACTCGGCCGCCGCTCCTCAGGTGCCTGTGTAAACAAACCTTAATGGAGTTCTCGGTGCATACCGCCGAATTTATCAGCAAATTTGTTTGATAAAGGCTAATTTCCCAAGATCGCTGTTGAGTTTAGGAACTTGTCCGACATCTTAGGAGGTTGAGGAGCATTAACTGCCAGGTTAATACAAGAAAATTAAAATATTAAGAAAATAAAAAACGTCCTATGTGTAAAAAATAATTTGTAGTTTAAATTACTTAAAAATTAATTTTCAAGATTAGGCATTTATTTAATATCAAAAGAATAATTAAAATATTATCAATTTCAAGCTCGAACAATGCCCAACTTTATACATGAAAAGTTTTATTCATTTCTAGACGTGTTATTAAATTTATAGGAACCGTTTCATGGTGACCAAGCCGCTTAATTTCAAACTTGGAATAACACTTGATATAGAAATATGGCAAAAAATTTATAACAAATATGTTCGATAAAGGGAAAGTTCCCAAGCTTGGCGTTGAGTTTAGGAACTTTTCCAAAATAACAACTATCAGGTTAATACAAGAACATTGAAATATTAAGAAAGTAAAAACGTTCTATATGTAAAAAATAATTTTATATTAAATTACTAGAATGTAATTTTTAATATTAAACCGTTATTTATTATTAAAAATAAATTAAATGATTATCAATGTCAAGCTCGAACAATCCCCAAATTAATACGTGTAACGTTTCATTCATTCAACGTGTTATGTTTTTCAGAAGTAGCAGAAACGTCAACCTATAATGAAAGTTTCTGCTATTTTAACCTCAAAATCCTCTATTACTGACTTTTAATCTCTCTCTCTCTCACTAATTGCATTCAATATTGGGTAATAAATATTCTCAGTGACTTCAACATTTTGTTATGAAGGCTTTAATATCACTAAACCGCTACAATGTTTTAATATAAATGTAGAAGCGCAATTTTTCAATATTTATAATTTCTCTCATTTTATAGTTCTAAATATAGTGGTCGTTCCATTACTAATTTTATTTTCATCCCAGTAAAATCATGTTTCCCATGCTTTAACATTTTTCTTTTAAATATATGTTACTATTTAATGGTAAATTTTGTTAAACGCTTTACAATTCATGTCTATTCCAACTTTATTATTTTACTATTTTAAATATCTGTTTCGAAGTTTCTTGAATAGAGTTTAGTACTGTTTATTATGTGTCGTAAATAGTCATATCTCATTCATTAAATGCGAAATATCCATTACTTCCCGATCGTTCAAGCACTTAATGATAATGAGGTTGAACCACAAGTACTCAAAATAATAAATAAAATACGTTAAATTATTATTATTTCACTATGTTTTTTTTAATGGGTTAAGCCATATATAAACAAGCAAAAATATAAATTTAAAAAAATTATAAAATTTAATTAAAAAAGTAAATTAAAAACATTAAAATAACTAAATATTTTAGTAATTCCGGAATAATTTGTCGCAAACTCACACCTGTAACAGATTTTTCTTTTGTTTCTTTTACTAATTAAGTTGTTTTAGTTTTGAATTTGTTGTAGTCTTGCATTTTGCTTATACTTATATTCCTTTAATGCTTTTGCATTAACGTCTATACCAAAGGTGAAGGTTGTTAAGGAGAATGGAATAACGTTTACAGCTGAAGAAACAGCTGGAAAAGAAGTTTCTGGAAATATCATTAACGTTATCTTCAGTCACACAGCACCGCCAAAGCTTTCTGTTTCATGATGCTTTGAGTATAAGTGAAATAAAATAAATATATAAAAATAAGTGAAAATAAAAAAAATCCAAGAAATTGAAATGTCCTATGAATGTATTATTTTTCCTAATATTTTCGATATTCCGATTTTAATTAAAAGTTTCTGAAACTATTTTAGAATTCATGAGTGATAATTATAGGACTTTCAATTTTTTTTTAAAAGCAGTGTCTGAAAAAAAAATGGATTTTAAATAATTATAATGGTGTGGCGATGATTAACCGTACGTTCTAATTTTAAAATAAGTTAGTCAATATATAAAATACTATATTGCAATAATGAATTATCCAACGTCCTAAGTTTTAGGTCTTCTTCAAGGCTAAAAAGATACGAACAATATATGTAATTGTAACTGGGTACAATAAATGATAAATAAAATATCCGTTGATATTGACTCACTAGAAAAAGTAATTGTGGAACTCTTAGGATATCATAAGTGATGTAAAATCACAGCATGATTTGAAATACAATGTATTTTACATAAAATGGACTAGACTAGATTAAATATTATCTGTGTAATCTATTTTTCATCAGATTGACAAATACATTACACAGGTAATATATATAAAATACATAATTCAAACCATGCTGTAATTTTACTATGTCAATTATGATATTTTAAGAGTTCTACAACTACTTTTTCTAGTAATCTGTATTATTTCAATGTTTTATTTATCAGTTATTGTACCCTGTAACAATTAACATATATTGTTTGTATCTTTTCAGTCCTGAAGAAGACCTAAAACGTAGATCGAAACATTGGATAATTCAATACAAAATACTATTAATTAATATAGTAATTTGTATATTTACTGATCTCATGATATGAAGGCAACGAGGTTAAGATGGGGGAGGGGCATGTAGCTCGAAACAATCCATCAGCACAACATGCCTTTACACAACTATGAATGCCAGAGTAGTAGGCAAGAGACCACGCGGTATATGGGTTCTCCCGGACTACTGGGTCTCACAGTTCCTCACAGAGCATGGGGGTTTCCGAGCAAAGCTCGTTGAATATGGCAAGAACATTGATCCCCTATGCCCAAGTTGCAGAGTGCGGGAGACTGCCGAGCATATCGTGCTAGTCTGTACCGCCTTTGAGGCACTGAGGGCCAAGTTGTTGAGGGAGACGGGACTTTACGTTCTGGCGGAGAGTAATCTCCCTCAACTAATGACTAAAGTTAATACCCGTGCTACAAGGCCTTCGTATACGAGTGGAAGGAACTCGATGGTCCAAACCACATTACATTGGAAAGAAGAGATGAACCTGCATCCGGAAGACCGCCAGAGAGGGTGGAAGAGGATACTGGCTAAAAAGAAAAAAAGAGCAGGCTGTGTGCACAGCTGAAAAATAAAATAAATGTAATTGGTCTGAATGCAGCAGTGAATTGTAACGCATGTGTTGCTCTCACTACTGCATAACACTCGTATTGCCTTATCGGCAGGGTAGGGTTTAAATAAATAAGT